GCTGGATATAAGATTTTCACATTTGGTTATATGGACAGTTTTTGCTGTGCATCTTTTACAAAGAGACAGAAAAGTTTGATTTCAATAGTTAATTGTAAACGTTTAAAAATAAATGTCACACAATCAGTGAGTTGTCCACAAAGTAGACTGTAAATGGAAATGACTCATGGGAACTAAATCTTAGTCCAACATCTATAAAACCAAGTTTTATCCACTTCTGTGTTTATTATCTATCTGTGGTGGCCATCTTGAATGGGGGTGACTCCATAAAATAATAAGTCACAGCTCTCCATCTACTGCTTGAAAGTGTTTATTAAAATGTAGCCAGTGGTTTGTGAAACATTGTGCTGATGTTAATAAATAAACACACACACAAACTCAGACACAGGCAAAAAATAGAATTGCCTCTTTACTTTTAGCAGAAGAAAAGAAAAAGAATTGTAACTCCAAGAATTGTAACTCCAAAATAGGAAGTGCAGCATTTGGCATAGGAAGATCAAACTTTAAAAATAAAATAAAATAAAATAAAATAAATACATGCACCCCTCTTTTTCGTTTGTTTGTGTTGTTAATTTCTAGGGAACAACCCTCATTCCCATCTTTCTACCACAAGATAGCGCTAAAGGAGAACATTGACCGCACATAATAACCGTCCTTTCATCCCAGTGTAATGCTTCACGATGAACAGCAGGTGGCACTGTTGATCCTGCTTCACTTTTAAATTCCTGCTGATGGACGTCGGTACACCTGTTCCTTCAGCTCAGAGAAAAGTTTTTATTTCTCCTTTTAGAAAATGTCTAAGTCATGTTTATTTGCAAATCTTTAGTATTTTCTCCAGACTTGTCATTAAAAAATACAGACATGTCATTAAAGTGTCCTTCTCATTGGGCTATGATTTGATTACAATAACGAGAAAGCTGAAATCCTTCCTCTGAGGTCTCTGAATGTCTTCTTCAGACAGGTGAGTGGACTGTAAAAACTGACCTCCTGCACGTGCAGAATTAWAATCTTTTGTTTATTATGAGCTCTGAGCAGCAGCAACACAATAGGCTCACGCGCCTTGGTCTGACTGTCATTTTGCATCGCAGCTGGCTGAGTCTGATGCAGAAACCGGGATCAGATCCTCCGCTCTTCTCAAGTTAATTAAAACCAACCCCTGATTGGTCGGACAGAAATACCCGGCGGGCCGTCCTGCTCCTACTAACTTGGAGAGCAAGACTGAGCGCCAGTCACAATCTGCCCAAGGCGAGGGAGGGCAAGAAGGAGACGGAGTGTACAAGGAGAGAAAGAGAGAGAGGTGGTGGTGGTGGTGGGGGGCAGAGAGAGACGAGCGCTCCGGTCTCGCAGAAGTGTTGAACGTGGGCTACAAGCGCGCACAGGGGGGAGCGCAGAGAGGAGGTGAGCGCGTGTAGACGCTCAAGCTTCACGTTTACAGCCTCCTTCCTGAAGAGTCACAGCACCAAACAGAGCAAAGGAAGAGTGGGGAGGGGGGAAACAAACTAACAGCAGAGTCTGTGACAGAACTCCAGCCCTCCAAACCCAAGCTGGGACCAAGGAGAAACAAGAAAGAAGAGCAGACTTTTTTTCCCCTCCCTGACTCTGCTCTGGAACAGAGGAGAAGACCAACCATGAATGTCAGCGATGAGAACCTGCTGAAGTCCATCAGTAACGACGCGCTCCTGGACCTGACGCAGCGCTACGGCCAGTCAGCCTTCGGCTTCGGCCCGGGCCACGGCGCCGGGAGCCCCGGCCGCTTCCCGCTCACGCCGGCCGCGGACTTCCTCTCCGGGCAGACGGCGAAGTCCAACGAGAGCGGCGGGGAGCACACGAGCGACGACGAGGACGGGTTCGACTCGCTGGAGTCCCGGAAGAGGGGCTCCTCGTTCGGAGACGACAAACCCGGGGGGGCCCTGGCCAAGAAGTCCAAGGAGCAGCGGTCCCTGCGGCTCAGCATCAACGCGCGCGAGAGGAGGAGGATGCACGACCTGAACGACGCGCTGGACGGCCTGCGCTCCGTCATCCCCTACGCCCACAGCCCCTCGGTGAGAAAACTCTCCAAAATAGCCACCCTCCTCTTGGCCAAGAACTACATCCTCATGCAGGCTCAGGCTCTGGAGGAGATGAGGCGGCTGGTGGCCTATCTGAACCAGGGACAGACCATAACCTCACCCATCCCCACCGCCCTGGCGCCCTTTGGACAGGCGGCCGTCTACCCGTTCTCGGGCTCCGCGCTCGCCACCACCTGTGCCGAAAAGTGTTCCACTTACTCCGGCGCGCCGTCAACTCTCTTCAAACACTGTAACGACAAGCCTTGACTTGCTTCATATTTTCTTTCATTTTTTTCCTTATTTTTTTCTCTCTTTTTTTGTTCCTGAACTTTTACATCATGTACTGCACCTGTGTCGGTCTCTGTCCCACTCTAGTTCAATTAAGAATTAATAATAAGAAGAATGATGCTAATTCTGTGGAAGTTATTCTGATGCGTAAAATGTTCCATCCAGGTTTAACGCGACAAGAAAAAAAAACTGTTAAGGCCTTCTGCGCGGCTTTAAATGCGCCACAGGCCTAATTATCCTCCCAAAACTATTGATCTGATTATTTTTCTTTAAAGGGAATCTTCTGTTATGATTTGTAATCTATGCAACATCCAACAAATAATGAATAAAAAGCGACAAAACTCCCATCTGATCCTCCTGATTGACTTTTATGCTGCTAAAAATAATGATCTGTTTTYATGTTTCTGTTCTCTGATCAGATGTGTTTGCTTTTGATTTGAAGTTCTTGMACTTCTCACTTGATTGTATTGTACAACTCTGAGGAATTTCGTGCTTCGTTGAGCCCGGTTATCACACTACTAATAGTTACATAACTGCAGCCTATAGAACTGGACAACTAAAAAAAGCGTTCTGCTTGTGTTCTAACATGGATTTCATATATTGTTTATATGTCTTTATAATTAAACAAACACGTATATCTATATCTTGGACCCAGTTTGCTTCATTTCAACTATTTCCAAAACCTCATTTAAAAGAAAATCAAGAAATCAAATATTGTTATTAATATAATTTTTATTTTATTCTTTTTTTTATTTTACGCAATGGACAAATTAGCGGTAATTATCAGAGTCTGGCCCTCATCACAGACCCTTTTGAAAAAAAAAACTTTCCTGTCTCACATAAAGAGCAGGAAACGGGTCTGGACGTGCCGCGAGGAGCTGGTGGGGCCTGTTTGGCGCACAGTGGGGTCGGTGGCGCTGAGGGGAAGGGCGCACGCTGCGCCTGGGGCACCCTCGACCTGTCTCTGGGTATTTGGGTGATTGCAGGCTTCCTTGGCGGGCTCTTCTGCACACTGGAGTGGACAGCTATTAACACGATTTCTGCTCCTGTCTCTTTGGAGGAGACTTAATGCAATGAACATTTTTACGTTTTTGCTTTTTTATTTTATTTTATTTTCTTTCCTTTGCAGGTTGGGCATTAATTTAAAGAAGTGTGTGAGACTGGTCACTGCGCTGCAATTAGCAGGGATCAGTGTGTGTGTGWGAGAGTGTTAGTGAATGTGTGTGTGTTGTCTGAAATCATTTTGCTGCAGTCTTATTTTCACCCTTCATTACAGCCTGACTCTCTGGAGAGCGGCACTGATTTTGGTACCGATTTATATTTCTTTCTGATTACTTTATTTGTCCAAAAACACTTAATTTGGACAAAAAAATTGCCAGAGTGCAGCCTTCAAAATTATTTTCCAACATATTTGTTGCTTAAAATTTAAATTCAACTATTCACATTCCCAAACAGGTCAATAATTATGATTTTTTTTTTCTTTTGTCCACAACAAGTTTCTTTGGAATACTCTGCCTTATCAGCTGTATAAAACAAAACGAAAAGGCTTAATTTTAATATCTTTTGATSAACGTGCTAAGTCAGTATGTTACATTCGACATTTAAATCTCCTCGGCCTGTTTGTGAATGGACTAAGTGATGCACTCCCTTCAGTCTTCTACAATTGATATATTTGTCACAACAACGGGACACCCGTGGCATTTTGAACCGTCTCTCTGATGACACATGCCTCCTCTGAGGCCCCATGAGAGGGTCAGGGCAGCGGGGATGAAATGTGACAAACAGTGATGTGAGGGCATGGGGGCCCTGCTCTCCTTCAGTCTCAGTGCAGCCTAATTGCCACAAATGAGACAGTCTGTACGGGTGCTCGGATGGTCACTTTTCTGCCTATAGGCCTCTGATGTGGAGCTGGACGGGTATGTGTTTCATTATGTCACTTTATTTTCTTAATGGCTTTAAGTGAGCGTGGTGGCAGGGCAACCATACGACAAATGTTTCAGTCTGCGGGTCTTTTCAGTGTGTTTTCAGGGTATTACACCAGGCAGTAGTGAGTGAAGTGAACATGATGTGAGGTTTCTTACATAAAGCATGAGTTATCATTTTGTTAATGCCATGTTATAATGGAACTAACACTTGACAGTCAAGCCACGTAAGGTGAAGGCTAGGGTTAGATGTTRTTGTGTGTATGAACTGCAGCTGTAATTTGATAATAAAAGGTAATTAACATTATTTTAACTCCCTTGTTTTTAGGGAAACAGTTGATGCTCTACATTTTTAATGCAATTTATGATTAAAAAATGAATTCCAGCTTACAGTTAAAAAAGACTTGAATGAATTCAAGAGATAAAAATTTAAACTGTTCTAATTCCAAACCCTTTATTTTGAAAGCAGCAAAATCAGGGTGAATAAGTCTTGTGTCCAGTTAATCAAAAACCTGCTGAGTGTGTTAAAAACTGAAAAACAAAAAATTATAACAATCTACAATGAAGTTGTTGATGGGGTGTACACATACACGGTACGTTGAGTTAAAATACACAAAAAATGTATCTTGTTCTTGTGGCGGAAGAAAAAAATTAAGACACATTTCCATCTGTGTCATCAGCTTCTCATTATCCTCTAAATCATTATTTTTTTTTCAGATAGATGTGAGCGATGTTTTCAAATTAAATATTTGGAACTTTTTWAAAAATTTTATTTTTAAAGAAGCATTACTAAATAGGTTAGAGCATAACTCTCGCTACATATAACAGGATAAAAAATGAATATGATCTTCTAAGCGATTACAGAAGGACATCTTGCTGCCTGTTCTCACCTCTTGTCTCCTTCTGACAGAGTTTTTTTTAAATTCAGACAAACACCATGCACTCCAGTGCCACTCTCACAACAGCCCAGTGTGGTGCAGAAGTACGGACAGACTGTGTGATGTCTGTAAACATTTGTGTTTGCTCTYAGTGGGATAGAAAGGGAGTGATTTCATTAGCATGGCTCCGAGCTCTGAGGTATGTTTGTGCGCTTTTCCCCGACCCAACACTATGGTRCTAAAACCATATGCCCTTAAGTGTGTACCTCTGCCTAATGCATCTGACAGCACTGTTTTCTCTAATTAAGTTCTCCCCGTGTGCAGGCTTATGTGTCTGATGCACATTGCGGCACTCCATCTCTCACACACGGGGTGGACTTGCAACAGGGCCCTTGAAGGAAAACAGAACATGCTTCAACTCTGATTATGATTACTATGAAAGACTGGGGGGGTTGTAAAAC